GGAAGACCCTTGATGAGATGGATCGATTCTGTGAGTGGACTGGTGGGAATGAGTGTGTTTGAGATGGTGAGGTTGACACAGGATAGAACAGCGTTTAGGTCTTCTTGTACATAGGGTCGCTATGAGTCTCAAGCGACTCGATGGCACATAACAACAACAACAAGAGAAGCAATTAGCAGGTAACACTACACTACCAGCAATGTCTGTTGTTGTTATTTTTTTGTACTGTTGAGTTTGAACTCACCCGCAGCTGACCCTCGAGTGGGTTTTCAGAGGCCATAAATCACACACAGGAGGAAATGGCCCATTCTTTTCCTACAGAGGATTCGAACCATATGCCTTTGGGTCAGCTGTGCAATTCCTTACCACTAGGTCCCCAGAGCTCCCCTGAGGCGGGAAACAGTGGTCATCAAGTGGATCTAACTCATGGCGACCCCAAGGGTGTCAGAGTAGTAAAGTTTTCAATGGCTGTTTTTTCACGAGTAGTTTGCTGGGTCTTTCTTCCAATCTACCTCTGCGTGGACTTGAACCACCAACCTTTTGGTTAGCACCTGTATAAGCTAACTATTTCCACCACTCAGTGACTCCAATTAGCAATTGCTACCTGTCAGAGGAATATATCCAATACGCTTATTTGCTGCAATGTGTTAGGGACCCAGGACCTTCTTGGAGAAGGTGCAGCCAGAGTGCTCCTTGGAGGTGAAGATGATAAAGCTTCGTCCCATATACTTCGGGCATGTTGCTAGGAGGGGCTATTCCTTGGAATAGGGACATTATACTTGGAAAGGGGGGCACAGTAAAAGAGAGGAAGACCCTCAAACAGGTGACTGACACAGTGACGCAGTGCACTCAAGTGTGTCAGACTGTGAGGTTGGGAGGAGAGGACAGGGCTCAGATCTCCCATTCACAGGGTCACTACAGGTCCTACTCCACTCAATGGCACCTAACAACAACAACATTAGGGACCCAGGAGTCTTATTGACACAGTGGTTAAAGCAGTGGCTGTAACCCAAATGTCAGCAGTTTGAACTCACCTGTCTCTGTGGGAGGGGGAGGGGGCATTCGGCTTCCGTAACGATTTGCAGCCTTGGGAGCCCAGTGGAGGCAGCTCTTCACAACACATAGCACCAGGTCCATCACTGGCGCCCTTGAGTGATGCCAGAGGAGCATTGTGTGCTGAGCTGCTAACTGAAAGGTCAGGATTTCAAATCCACCAACTGCTCCACATGATAGAGCACTGAGACCTAGGGGAGGGTCGTTCTGAGCCAGCACTGACCAAGCGGCAGTGGGTTGGGTTTGGAGCGAGTGGTGCACGCAGTTGACGCGTTCACCTGTTATTATCCAAAATACTATTCTGTGTCCACTCAGAGATACCTCAGAAGAAAGGCCTGGCAATCTATTTCCAAAGTATCAACCATCGGAAACTGTATGAAGCACACAATGCTCCTTTGAAACATATGGATCACCATGAATTGAAATCTATCAGGGGCGACTGGGATTTTTCTTCACGTCCGTTATTATCACAGTGAACAGATCCGGGAGTGCTGGTGGAGCAGCCCACGGGGAATTGTGTAGTTAACCCAAAGGCTCCGAGGGAGAAAACTGAGCAGTGTCCTCCCGTGTGACTTGCAGCGTCGGAACCCAGCGGAGGGGCCACTGTGAGTCATTCCCAGCAGAGCCGCAGTGCTACCACCGTCCAACAGTTCCTACTCACTGACGCGTCTCAACATAAAAATAAGGACTTCCCTAGGTTCTGAAGAAGAGTGGACACTTCTGAGATCTGGGCCTCTGTCTCAGGGAAGGTTCACCTGACAGACTTTAGACAAAAGCACAAAGAGTTTATAATGTGCCAGAAAAAAAGACGAGGAAACTGTTCAGGCCACTGCTCTTCGGCTGGCTGCTGTGTGCCGTCAAGTCAGAACTGACCCATCACTGACCCTCCAGTGAGTCTTCAGAGGCAGTTAATCACACAGAAGGAAACTGCCCATCCTTCCCCCACGGAGCAGATACTAACTGCGTGCCTGTAGGGTTGCAGCGCAGCTTCTTACCACCAGGCCATCAGAGCTCCCTCGTACTCTGGCTACTAGCTCTGAATTCCAGGCAGCAGGAAGGAGGAAATTCGAGGTCAACATCCTCCCTCCATTCAAAGATATTTCCAGGGAGCAGCGCACATAGCAACTGTTTTAGCTCATTGACCAAAACTTGTCACAAGTGCACAGCTGACCGGGGGACACATAAGTTGAGGTTCTTATGAGTACAGGGGAAGGGAAGGTAGCTTGCAATCCATGCCAGTACTTGTTTTGCTCTGAAGACTTTTTCTTGGGAGAATACCTGCGTGAAGCACCTTCTTGACAGTCTCTTATCTACCTCCCAGAAATGCTCCAATGGCATCATTGTCCCCATTTGACCCCTGGGACAGCTGAGGCCCAGGGCTGTGAGATTTGCCCAGGTTCCCACAGCTGGTGAGCAGCAGAGCCTCAAGCTGCAGGCAGAGAAGAGCACTTCCGTCCAGCTTTCTGTCCACCACGAGGTTCCTTCCTGCACCCAGAGGATCTGTGTTTGCCTTTTTCTTTACGTGAAAAGTTACAGAGCAAATTGGTTTTCTATTTATCCATTCATACACATTTTGCTTTATGACCTTAAATTCAACAACATCAACGTAACCACACTCTCCCTGCTTTCCTCCAGTGATTCTCGCTTCCGTCCATCCTTCCATTCTGTCTTTTCCTGTCTTCTGAGCCAGGTCCCTGGGCGAACGCTGTCCCTCTCTCTGATCACATATGGTGAATTGGTCTAAGGGGAGAGTACACGCCTCCCTGCTGTTAACTGCCCACCTTATAGAGCCGTCTGTTGTTTGAATGAATGTTGACCCACACGAATGAGTTTTGTTCAAGCTACACAAGGTGACTAAGAGCCATAGTTTTGGGGTTTCTACCCCACCAGTAAGCCTGGTCAGTTTTGTGATTTTGAGTGTCATTGCTCATTTTTTGCCCCCTTTGTCCAGGACTCCCTTCTAGAATGGCCGGTGGTGGCACCATTGAGTTCTGCTCTCGGGGTCGTGGAGGTCGGGGTCCATGTGGACGATGAGTCCTGTAGACTGATTGTTCCTGTGCATCTTCGCTTTTCTTCCCCCTCTCTCCTTTTTTTTTGGTTCTAGACACAGAGAGACCACTAGGTGACCGTCAGATGACCACTAGAAAGCTTTTCAGACTCTAGTCACTACTCACCAGAGTAGATATGAAACATTGTCTTTGAGGATAATGTTAGGAGACCCAGAGTCTCATCTTTAACACGTTCTAGAACAGCCTTAAGCCTGCAGGCTCCCCCCACTCTGGATTTGGGCAGCATTGAGGATCGGAATCAAAGCATTGGCATCTAGTTAACTGAGAATGCTGGGGGGGGGGGGCCTGGGAGCTCTGCATGGGCTCCTGGGAGACCCATGACCCCTACCCTCTGTCATTCTACAGGTCAGCGGCCACTTGGACTACGCCAAGCAGATGGACGTCATCCTGAAGACTGTGGGCATTCGCACCAAGCCAGGCTGGGATGAGAAAGGCCTCTTGCTGGCCCCAGGTAGCCTCCTCCAGGAAGAACCTCGCCAGGGAACAGGTGCCCCATCGTCTGGTGAGGCCAGCCACCAGGATGAGCAAGCCCAGGGGTTCACAACCAAAGAGATCCCTAAAGCTGCCACGTTACCCAACCCCAGCCAAGCCCAAGTGCCAACAGAACCGGACCAATCTGAAAGGGCCTCCTCTGCTGCTGCCGCTAACCCCACTGAGAGCCCCCATGTCTGCAGCCATGGCATGGGCTCCAACCCCCTGGGCTGTCCTGACTGTGCCAGCCAGACCGAGGGGCCCTGCCCAGGGCTAGACTGACCCCCACCATGGCAACGAGACTGTTTTCTGCTCAACCTTCACTTGCCTCTCATCAGCTCCCAGGTGAGCTGTGAAAGTGCAGAATTTCCAGAAGTGCCTTCCAAAGATGAAGAAAGTGCAAAGGAGGGGAGGAGAAGGCTGGCCCCCCGGGGAAGCAAGCCAGAGAAGTGAAGCTAGCCACAGTGAAGAGACTGAGGCGGGGAAGCCCGCGTGGGCTGAGTGCATACAGACCACACTGCACGGGGGTCCAGGCACGCTCTCTGGCACCGCCACACTCCCATGGTCTCAATAAAGCCAGGTACCCCCTGCTTTCACACTTACACTTCAGGGTTGCCTTCCACCGGAAGCACCCCCTACCAGCACCCCAGGGCCTTTGGCAGTGGTTCTGGATTCCAGAACAGGTACAGGTGTTGACAGACGGGGACAACTCACTCTGTTGTTGAAAGAGCTGATCAGAGCTGCCACACGCAGCCACCGAGGACATCAGTCACACAGTCTGTACCATGAGCGGTGTCCCTAGAAGTGGTACAGCATGGTGGCACTGGATTGAAATCGTGGTGGAAATGCTGAGGGGTGGGTGGGAGCCGGGTTGGTGACAAGAAGGAACTGAATAAGGGAAAGATCTTCTATGGCAGGAACAAGACCGGTAACCATAATTGCAAATAATAATAACAACTGCTCTCCTTGCGTGTTTACTTGCACTGATTGTCTCCACTTACCCTCATAACCCTGTGAGGTGATGCTACTGGTAGCCTAGTGGTAAGGAGTTGCACCACCAACCCAAAGGCGTAAGGGTCAAATCCACCAGCTGCTCCCCAGATGGGCACTCTCCTCCTGTGCCGTTTACCGCTTCTGAAAACCACTGCAGGTTCAGCTCTGAGTCACTTCTGACTCAGCGGCACATAACCACACTATCATCTTCATTTTATCCCGAGGAAAACTGAGGCCCAGAAAGGTTAGGGAGCCTGTACAAGGTCACACAGCTGTTCATTGATGGAGCTGAGTCTCAAACCCCCGTTAGATTCCTGCGCTCAAGCTCTTAACTGTTGCGTCTGCATCCATGGTCCCTTTGTTCCCTCCACACCTGGATGTCATGTCCAGAGATCATTCCCCTCATTGTGCAGATGTGAAGGTTCCAGCAGAGAAGGCATTGATGGATTCAGCAGGAGGTGGAGGGGCAGGAGAGTTAGAATCTCAGAAATAGCAGCTCAGAAATGAGCTATCTGTATTTGTTCATTCAGCGTGCATTTACTGTTAGTCACTGTTAGACACTACTGTTAGTCCCACCTCCTCTGTCATGCATGGAGAACTGAGACCCTGAGAAGGAAATGACTTTTCCAAGCCCAGAACACCTGCACCATTCTCTTCCCACAACGCCAGCTGCTCCTCAGGTCCCGAGTGGCCCCTCAAGTGAAACCAGTCCACACCCGAGTCGCTGCCTTTAGCTAGTGTTTATTGAGAGTCTGCTCAGCAGGCCGGGGCCCTGGAAAAGCCCAGTGAGCACCACAGCCCCTCTGCGGCCTGGGCCAGGACCGGAGCCGAGTGTGATCAGCACCAAGGAGGGCATCAGGGCAGCCCGTGAGAATGCCCCAGGGGTTTGGGTTGAGGGAACTTTGATGGGGTGAGATTTAAAAAAAAAAAAACCTGCAAAGGAATACGTACCAAGTAAACACAAGATAGGAGCCCACCCTCCAGGATAAAGGTTCTCATGCCAGGGTCCAGCTGCCTGCCTGGGGCCCAGCCTCTGCCAGAGACAGCTCCTCTTCAGCTCTGCTGCTGTCTATCATCCCCATGTCCCACTGACCCCAGGGAAGGCCAGAAGGGCGAGGCAGAGGCTAGGTTCTGTCTCCATCAGCTAGTTCCTCCATAGGGCTGAGGAAGCCTGGCATGAAAGCCAATCATCCCTGGCAGTGGGCATGAAGACACACGCTGCCCCTCTACCCCCGAGAGAGGGAGTACAGCGGCTCAGGAGTTGGGAGGGCCCTGAGAGGTGGGGATGGAGAAGTGGGGAACCAGAATTAGGATGTGGGAATCTGGGCTGGGACTGAAGAGGAGGAAGCTGAAAAACTAAGAGTAGGGACCGATAAGCTTCCTCTGCTCATACCCAAGGTCAGAGGGCCGGGCAGGCAGGAGTGGCAAGAGCAGCGCAGACCACTTACCACTTCCTGGGTGCTCTTGAGACCCCTACGAGGTCGGCGTGATTACACATTGTGCACACGATCACTGAGGCTCCGAGAGTTTAATGACCTGTACAAAGCCCCTGAGCTGGCAGACGTAGAGCAGAGATCTCATTCATACCTGGGCAGACCACCCGTCCCCGAGCCTGGCTGCTTTTCTGTGCCGCTTACATGAGAGACACAGCCACCCACAGGGAATAGCCAGTCCGGAAGCTTCATCCAGAAACTCATGCTCCAGGTTTAAAATCATCTAAACTATCCCAGGCATCCCCAGGTAGTGCAAATGGTTAACACACCAACTGCTAAGTGAAAGGTTAGTAGTTCAAATATCCCCCAGAGGCACTTGAGAAGTGAGGCCTGGTGACCGATTTCTAAACATCAACCACGAAACCCTTGTGATGCGTTGTTCTGTTCTGACATGTGGAGTTGACCGATACCGGTAAACCAGCACCCCTCACAGTGAATGTATACACTAGTCACTGGGGGGGAGAGGGGGGCAAGTCACATGATTCTGATTGAGTAGTTATGGCTCGGGACAGGAATTACGCTTTTTTTTTTTTTTTAGCAAAATCTCAGGTGAGGTTGATGCTGCTGGTCTGTGGACCACATGTGGGGAAGAGAATCGGCCAAACCCAAACATGAATCCATCACTGCAGAGGTGTCGCTCCCCATCATGCAGATAAAATATGCAAAGGACATGTCTGTATTCAAGCTGATCGGAATCAGTTGCTCCTTCTCCCCAACTTCCAGTATTGTCCGATAGTTCTGGACCGACACATGTGCAAGGGACATCCCACAACGAAGAGCATAAGTGCCTGAGTCAGCTATCCTCCCACCAGACAGGAAAGTAGGACACTGTCTCAGTGAACCCCAGTGGAGGCGCCAAGAGCTTCAGGCAGACCTGCAGCCTCCTGGCCTTGGCCTTGGAGACTGGGCCCCCTCAATCCATCTCCCCACTGGCCAGATCCAAGCCTGGTCAGTTCGTGGGGGTGCCCAGTGGATGCAGCCGGAGCTCAGATTCCACTGGATCAATGTTGAAGAAATTGACGGTGGCAGTGGCCCGCGCCGGAGGTGGGAGGTCCCGCGTGACCTCTCCAGGCAGCAGCAGCTGAGCTGTGAGCTGCAGGCCCGAGGAGCCGCCCGAGTCCGAGTCCATGTCCGAGCTGGGGGGCAGGGGCAGCGGCAGCACCTGCTGCAGGCTCAGGCCAGGGCGGGCACCACTGTGAGAGGTGCGCATAGACGGGGAGGCAACGCTGGCCTGCTGCTCCCCGGGGCAGCGGGGACATGGCAGGAACCTTCCGAGGGCCCGCTTGAAGTCCCTCATGAAGAGCGGGTAGATGATGGGGTTCATGGTGCTGTTACAGTAGCCCAGCCACGTGAGGATGTCAAAGAGGCCTGGGGAGATGCAGTCACACACGGCCTGTGGGGGAGGGGAACAGGGCACATCCGGGCCTGGAGCAGGCACACAGCACAGCCACCATGAGGGACAGCCCACCCTCCTCCCTCTGTGGGCTGGGATGAGAGTCAAGGCCTCCCCAGCAAGGCCAGGACTCACCTCCTGCTGTGGCATTACCTGTGCTATGTTGGCCACAAAGAAGGGCAGCCAGGTCACGAAGAACATGCCCAGCAGGATGCCCAATGTCAGGCTGGCCTTCAGAGCCTTGGTGCTGTGCTTGGTGGCCAAACGCCTGCTCTCTGCTGACTGCACCGCTGGACGAGGGGTCCGAGGCACCTGTGAGGGGAAGGACACATAAATCAGCTAAGAGCCGCACTTGGACCCTGATACCAGTCTCAGACTGAGCCTCAATACCAATTCTAGATTGAATACTCAGAGAAGCAATAAACTTACCCTTTATCTAGATCTTGATCTTGACTGAGCACCAACCGTAGTACTGGTCTGAAGCCTCATCCTAACTCAAGACTGAACCTTAACCCTGGTTCCAGATTAATCTCTGGCTTCAACCATAAACAAAGTCCCAACTAAAATCCCAGACTAAACCCTGACACCTGCCAGAGACGGAGCCTGACTTCATGGTTGTCTCAAACTCAGCCTCCACCCTAAACCCAGACCCAAGACCCAGCCTCAGCCTTAAATGAGCCTGGATCCCTTCAATACACTGAGCCCTGGGCCCTGCTGCCTTAACCCTAACCCCGCATTTCACAGGAACTCTAGAAAGTTCAACAAGACAGCAGCACTTTCCCAGATACAAATCAGAATGATTCAGAAAAGTACCATCCTTGCAAAAGGCAATAGGTCAACACACACATGATGAGTCCTAGCACCTTCCAAAGCTCAGCTCTGTCTGTGAGGTGTACTTGGAGAGGTGAGGGAGGAGCAAACCTGCTAGCAATCCAGGCTTGGCAATCCCTTTGTGTATGATTTCTCTTTATATTTGGAGTAATGGCTTTACCATTATATTCATGTTCTATAAGATAAAAGTGGCTTTTAAAAATGTGTGCATCAGGCAAACGTTTGAAATGAAGCCTACTATAAACTACTAGATGTGCTAACTTTGGAATTTTACAGTTGATATGATGCTGCAGACTTTCCGGCATCTCCATTCTCAAATGTGTATTTTGAAGAGAGAGAGAAAGGAGAGGAGAGCTGCCCACAGCAGCCACTGAAAGGAGTCCTTGGGCACCGAGAGGTTGGAATTTAACTTTTCAAGTTGAGGATCAGCAGTCCCAAAACATAAAAAGCTCTAAAAAGGAAGGAAGACCCTTTAGCCTAGTGTTGTCTTAACATTCTGAAGCTCATCAGTCCTTTGAAAAGTTAATTAAATCAATAAGACCTCTCTCCAGAAAATAAACACCATATAAATGTGCATACATGCACACACACATATACACACAACTCCCACATGTCCAGAGGATACAGAGACCAACTTGGAGTCTACCCAGGAAACCTCTCAGGGTCCATGAAAGCTAGGACATGAAGCTCTACTCTAGTCCATGGTTGCTATCAACTTGTATATTCACATATCAGATTTACATAAAGTAAGACCCATCTGCATATACAATTTAAGTGAACATCAATGTGCAAAACTGTGCACAATTCATCATAAATAACTATGCAAAAGGTGTGTGCTGCCCCAGGAATCTGTCTGGGCTTTGAAAACTGGGGGTTCCTCTAGCACCCTCTAGACTGAACTTTTAAGAGTTGCCACAGGAGATAAAAGGGTCAAAAGCAAGCAGGAAGGGACCCAGATCACCAGGCAACTTTCTGCAGATGGAAAGTGGGCGGAGGAGGCGAAGCCAAGAAGATGTGTCATCCCCCGTGTACAGCAAACCAGCACCCTCCAACTCCCTCTCACATGCTTGAGTTCTTTTTTTCAATACATAAAAGACAAGTTTTTGTTTTTTATTTATTCACTTTTTACAAGCATACTTTCTAAGATTAGGATAAATAATTTCAATAATCAGAATGAAAAAAAATAAAAAAGTCACACAGATATAAGGGCCTCAAACTCATAGCCATAGAAAATATCTATTTCAAGTTAGTAATACTCAAGAGAGAACAGAGATTTAAGTGAATTCTTTTAAATATGTTTGTTTGATTGGTTTTTAAGTATTTTTAAATTTGGGGGGTTTATTTTTAAAAAAAAATTAAATTTTTTTTTTTTTTTTTTAAATATGTTTGTTTGATTGGTTTTTAAGTATTTTTAAATTTGGGGGGTTTATTTTTAAAATCTTTTTTATTATTTTCTTTCTTAATTCACTCACCGTTGCATTTCCTCCCTCTCCTTCCTTTTCCCTCACCCAGTCCATTTTGTAATACACTTCTTGTTCCAGATTGTTGTCATACATGTAATACCTAATCATATATTCCTATTAAACCATTCTTTCCCTCATCTGTTCCAATGCAGTGTTCATTATCTATCCTTTTTCTTTTCACCAAAGTTTATAGAGAACTTAGATCTCCATTCATTCATTGTTGCACATTTTCCTCCATTCTATCCCCCCACCCAGTTCGGTTTTCTGTTTGAAAAAATAAATAAATTCTTCTTGAGTTCTTCAGCTCTGTGTCCTGTCCATGGTGCTGAAACTCCAACACTAACTACGGGAGCAAGGGAGTTCCTGAATAGTGCAAAAAAAAAAGTACTCAGTTGCTAACGGAAAGGCTGGAAGTTTGAGTCCCTCCAGAGGCACCTTAGAAGACAGGCCTGGCTATCTACTTCCCCAACCAGTCATTAGAAACCCCCTGGAGCACATATGAGGTCTCCACAAATCAGGGTTGACTCAGGGCAACTGTTCTGATGGGAGCAGGGAAGTTAGTGCAGGTTTAATTCTGGAATGCTGGAGGAAGGAAGTGGGGAACAGGAAACACAATGTACTTACAACCTTGACCCCTCAATGTGACCATCAGGTGAAATCTGGCTATGCTGAACATCAAGGACAAAAGAGCAACTTTGATTTCTCCTCCTGATGAAACAGTACCAAGCATAAACAAGTGCTGGGTTTTTAAAACAGGTAGGGAGTGCTGATGGTGCCGTGGAGAAGCTGCACTGCAATCTCAAAGGCACACAGTTCAATCCCACTAACTGCTCTGCAGAAGAAGGACAGACAGTCTCTTCCTGTGTGAGTTATTTTCTCTGAAAACCTACTGGAGGGTCAGCTATGGGTCCGACTCTACAGCACACAACAATCTGGCTCCAATTATTCCTTTACCACCTACTCTACTGTCTTGAGACAGCCTCTATTTCCCTATCTGTAAAATGGGAATACAATATTAGTCTTTGGATTCACTGCCTGCACAGTGCCTGACACTGAGTTCTGACTATAGGACCACCATGATGCGGTTCAGTGCTGTAAGTGTGGGGCTGGGATAACTACTCGGATCCTTGGGGACCTATCCCTCTGCCAGCAGCTTAGGTTTTCCTGTAACTGCACAGATGTCAGGACAAATGGTCTGACTCACCAGGCTACTGAGCGTGGCTGGCATCGCTACAGATGGGGCATCCTCGCCTCCCCCTCCACCCACCACACACAAGCCTGCTTTCTAGGTCTGGCCCCAGCTCAGCAAGAGAAGGAAAGAGCACCTGCTTTCCTTCACTCTCTTCTGGTTTTCTGCCCTCTACTGATTTTCTGCCCTCTACAGTAGTCTCTTTGTGGTCTCAATGACGCTGCCATTGTCAACCTAGAGGAAAATTGTCCAAGACTCGCCATGTCTTCAAATCACTGCCATCAATGGAGACAGATGACATGGAAATGGGGAGACACTTTCCCCAGGGGATCCCACTCTTAGAAGTATCCTCTGAGCTCTAATGGCCCAGAGAGGGGTCAAGAGGCAGCCCTGGTCTTGTCAGAGCCCTGGGGCACTGGAGAGCAGAAACCCCAGGGATGTGCTGGGGGGAGGAATAAAAAGCTACAAAGGGGCTCAGAAAGAGATCTGGGGCTACTCTCTAATCTTTCTGGGAGAAAATCTTATGGTTTTCTCCCTTCCATTTGCCCCAAAGAACACAAAAGGGAAGAGAAGAAAATGGGCTCAGAGAAAGTAGAAGACCTTTCCAAGGTCACATGCACCATTACAAAACCCCAAACCAAGGTCCTATGACTTCAGATCAACAAAAGACCCCTATTTACTGTGCACAAGCTATGCACCTAGTCTCCAGGGGGAGCAAATGAACAAGCACTCAGCTACGAACCAAGAGATTGGTGGCTCAAATCTACCCAGAGGTACCTAACAAGAAAGGCCTGGTGATCTATGTGTGAAAGACCACAACTCTTGGAAATGCTGTGGAGCACACTTCTACTCTGAAATATATGGGGTCCCCATGAGTCAGAATTGGTCTGGTTTGGTTTGGTTTGATTTATGTATCAGTAGTTAATACTCATTGCTCATGCTTTATAGGAGGTGGGTATTACTGTCCCCACTTCGCAGATGAGCAACTGAAGCTCAGGAGACAAAATAACTTGTCAAGAGTCACACAACAACTAAATGTTGATTCAGGGGTTCAAAGTCATTTCAGGCTCCAGAAACTGCTTTTTTCCCCCCATGTCCCCATTCAGAGATGGCATCCATGGACCAGTCAGGGTGCATTTTGAGGAATTTCACCTGTCCACTAACAGCCCCTCATGAAACATCCACCACCAACCCACACACTGGTGTCTGACTCATGTCAGCCGCACCAGCCCATATTCCCTTTCTTCCATGTAACCATGACTGTTCTGTTGTTTGCATGTCCTTATAAATGTCTGTGTATTTGTCACCATCAGAGTGCAGCTGTTCAGAAAACAATTTGGCGGTACCTTCTAGCTGGTAATTCCACCTACAGGTCCCTATGTTCAAGAAGCAAATGCCCCCCCCCTAGAAGAAAAAGCATAAGCACAAACAGAAGTCTGTACATCAGTGCTCATGGTAACAATTTTTTAACAAAAGTAAAATATTTTAATTATGTAAAGTTGTAAGGCACAAATAAGCCTGTGTTCAAAGACAATCAACAATAATCTTACAATCTACCTATAAACAGACAACACGCCTTTTTCTTCTTCATTTATTGTATGCGTAAAATATATACAAATAAAATATAATAAAGATGTTGTTGTCTCTTACTTTTATTTAATATTACTTTGTAAAGATTGTTCAGTATCTTAAGACAAAAGACAGACACAACTGAAATTGCCATCAACAGAGGAACTTGTCATGCTGGTTGCATCAGTACCAACGAGTAGCAACCCTACGTACAACAGACAAAACACTGCCCTCTCCCACACCATCCACAATCTCTCTGC